AAGAAGGCTCACAACCTAAAAACCTTCCGAATTCCCTGCCGATCCCATCTGAACATTGCTCTGAGAGGCTACACAAGGAGGAGGAGTAAAACTGAAACGGACTTGGATTCTTTTGTGACAAACAAGTCCATGACATACAAAAACGTTAAGAATGTAGGCTTAGGAATGGAGGAAGGCTTATTACCCTGTTTCCCCGAAAGTAAGACATCCCCCGAAAATAAGCCCTATTTACAGTTTTGCCTCTTGCTGAAATATAAGGCATCCCCCCAAAATAAGACCTCCCCGAAAATAAGGCCCCCAAAGCTACCATAACTCCGGACTCTGGACCATAGTGGTGGGCACCACCACACAGCTCTCTGTTAGCCACAGAGCAGCCAGGAAATGCGAGGTCTCTCTTAATAAAACAATATACAATAAATGTGTACCGTATTCTTATTCATAAATAAGACATCCCCTGAAAATAAGACCTAGTGCATCTTTGGGAGCAAACATTAATATAAGAGACTGTCTTATTTTCGGGGAAACAGGGCAGTAATCTTCCACATGCGGATGACACACCCTCGCTTGCTGAAAGGGAGGAGGACTTGACACACTTCCTGACAAAGATTAAGGATGGAAGCCTTCCGGATGGATTACCATTCAATGTAAAGAAGATCAGAATCCTCACCACCGGCCCAAGAGGTAACATCATGATACACAGAGAAAACCTTGAGGTCGCCAAAGATTTCGTCTTGCTGGGGTCCACAAGCAATGCTCATGGAAGCAGCAGCCAAGAGATCAAAGGATGACACATCGCCTTGGGTCAATCTGCTGCACCAGACCTAAAGCGTGGGCACCCAGGACGTTTACCTTGCGGGCCAAGGTGCGCCTGCCCCAAGACATGGCATCTCCAACGGTCTCGTCAGCACGTGAAAGTGGGACACTGACGAAGGAAGGTGGGCGGAGAAGGGGTGCGTCTGATGACTATGGGCTGCCCAAAGGACAGACAAATCTGTCTTGGCAGAAGTGTGGCTGGAGTGCTCTTTAGAAGCAAGAAGGGTATACCTTTGTCTCACGTCCTCTGAGCGTGTGCTTGGGAGAGGCCAGTCATCAGGTTGCAGGGGGGAAGTGGAGGGGCAGCGAAAGAGAGGAAGGGCCTCCGCAAGATGGATGGACTCAGGGTGGCCACGCAGGCTCAGACGTCGGAACAGTTGGGAGGACAGCGCAGGCGGGCGCCGTTTCCTTCTGCTGCGCACAGGGCCGCCATGACCGGGGCTGACAGAATGGCACTGAACAGCGGGCCACGCGTTGGCCTCCATGCCTGGAGGTGATCCAGGAACCCCTTCCTCAGGTGGCACCCCGAGTTTGCCTGTCAGACCTGACCGAGTATAGTCTCCCAGGTTCCTGCTAGGAGCCCTGGTGGCTGCATGGGCTAGGTGTTCGGCTGCCAGCCCGGAGGCCCGCAGTTCAAACCCACCAGCTGCCTTGAGGGAGAAAGATGAGACTGTCTGCTCCCCTGAAGGGGTACGGCCTCAGAAACTTTATAGAGGTCACTGTGAGTGAGGATCCACTTGATGACAGTGGGTTCTTGGAGGTTTACGCTGCTACACCTCTGGCACCACATTCTCTCTGCTTGCTGATGCCCACCGCCCCCCACGCCTGTCTCTCCCAGGGAGGTACCTGGCCCATACCACAGATGTGCAATGCCAATTGCTCCTCCCTGTGTGTGGGGTGTTGGGGTCTGCCAGAGGGGGTACCCCCAGAGGTGCAGCTGATGTGAGGAGGCTTGGGATATCCAGGTGAACAGGTAAGTGGGCTATTAACGGATGAACAGGCTGCACAGGGTCAGGACCGGGAGGCATGCAGGTTAGCTCTCAGCCCTGCCATGTGCCACTACCCACTGCTGCTGGACCCTCTCTGGGCCGGTCACTGCTGGCTCTCCTACTGGCCCCTTCCAAGGCTGCCACCAGTTTGATCCCTGTTCCAGTTCATTTAGGGAGTTGTCACGTCCTTTCTCCCGGGCTTTCTTTCCTCCTCTCTTCCTGATTCCTCTGCTTCCCGCCCCCACCCCTGCATCTTCCTGCCCCAGACTCCTCTGTTGAGGGCTGGCTGCTTAAATAACACAGCTGTGTGTGCACATGCAGGCACGGAACTCCCACTCACCAATCCCCTCCTGGAAGGCTGTGGACACTTGGTTTACACAATAGGGTACAACCTACTTCCTTTGCATAGTCCACTGAGCCATCTGTGAAGGTACAAGCCAATCGCAGGCAGGCTGCAGCCCAGGGCCAGGCAAAATATATCAACCCATCCTTGTTTTACATCTCACCCAGGAGATGTCAGCCAACGCAGCCGAAAGCAACAGACCCTGAGGAGTAGAAAACTGGGGCAACGCTCACTCCTCTGGATTTAGGGGCGTGGGGGGTGGGGGAATCTCTCCATCTGTTTCCCCAAAGAACCAGAGCAAAAGCCACTGAGAGAAACTCACTGTCCCACAAGTGTACTGCGCGGATTTGTTCCACAGGTCACAAAACCCTTTCCATTTTATTTTTGGAAATCCTTTTTCGTCTGCTCAGTTTTTCTGTATTTAAATACGCTCTTTATTTCTTCCGGGAGAGAATTTCCTTTTAGTGTCAGCTCTCTTTACTGTCCTCAGCTACCTTTACTGTTTCTTTTCGTGCAGGTCTGTTGACCAATTAATTCTCAGCTTTCATTACTCTGAGAATGTTACACATTTCATGTTCGTTCTCAAAAGATCTGAAAGCAGCGTAGAATCCCAATCAGGACCCCCCCCCCCCCCCTTCCTTTGGGCATTTACAGTATATCCGTTCTATTGTCTTCTGACCTCCATTGTGTCTGGTGACAAGTCAGTCCTTGTTCATACTGCTGCGTTCTCAGAGGTGATAGATCTCTTTATAGCTTGTTCCGAGGGCCAGTGTCAGGTACGCTCTTGGGACCGGAGCATAAGGCTCGTCAGGATGTATCTAAACACCAGCAGAAAGGGTTCTTTTGGAGCGGGCATCTGAGAGTCCAGGTCTGAGGAGGGACAGTCTTTTCGGGTCCACTCTATACCACGGCCTGCGTTCTACCTGAAGGCAGTGCTGGCCAATGGTAATCTGCATTGGCTGGCTACCTTTTCAGAGAAAAGCCAATGTTGGCCTCGGCCCATGGGAGCCTGAGATGCTGCAGTTGAGCACTTGACAGCACAGCCTCTTCCCAAGGCCCAGGTGGAACAGATACTGGGTCTGCCAACAACCTCAGGTACCCAAACAGACGTCGTGCACCAGTTACCGTGCCCTGGCTGGGCTGTCTTCTCCACAGACATCCAAGAACTCCAGACAGGGAGCTCTGGGCATTACCCTGCTCAGCAGAAGCACGCCTCATGTGAGAGGCTCCCATCTGAATGGCATCTGGGGTCGGCTCCTTCCCGAGGAGTCCGCTTTTAGGGAATGAGGAAATCTGAGCAGCCAAGTTGCACCTGGGCTGGGCTCTTACCCAGCGAAGCAGCAGGCAGGTGGGACTTTTGTTACTTGACAGGGATGATGTGCTCAGCTGATAAGTGCCCTGTTGCAGGAAGCTTCCAGAAAGAGAGAGAGTGTGTGGGGCTGTTTGGCTGTGGCTGCCCCTGGGCTGGCCTTTTGGTTGGATCCCTGTCCTGTACCCTGGAGCAGACCCTCCAACGCCTGCTCTTCAGTTCTGACAGATCCGCGCCGGCCAGGTGTGGACAGCACAGGTGGGGGTGCAGCTCTTCTGCACCTTGGAGCTTACAGAGAGGTGTGGTCCCAGAGACATCAGTATGGGACACCCCTCTGCACTTTCTCTGTGCAGCTTGTAACCTGGCTTTGTGTGTGTGTGTGTGTGTGTGTGTGTGTGTCTATGGACCATGGGTGCCCCATGCTCCTTCCACCCCTACCTTGCCTTCAACCCAAGAGGTGAAGTGAGCCAGCAGAGGCCGCCTGACTGCTCAGTGGCCAGCGTGTCTGCCCGTGTCCTGCAGGGTCCCGAGGCGGGCACTTAGGCAGTGGGAGTGGGCTACAACACGGTTAGATGCAGGGCCCTAGAGTCACAGTGCGATGTGTGTGCCCACGGTCAATGTCGATGTTCTCTAAGAAACCCACAGGCAGGCAAGCATTCTCGCTCACAGGTCTCACAGACCTGCCTGGGGCTCCGACCTTATAATCTGGGTAGAGCAGTTTTTGCACACGAAGGTCTTAAATGAACAGACATTTAAACTTGAGGAGCAAGCCAGCTACATTCACGGAGTCCTTTTGTGCTGCAGTGCGTTAACACAGCTACTAACCTAAAGGTTAGCGACGGGACACCACCCAGGGTGCCTCGGAAAAAAGGCCGGGTGATCGACTTCTGAAATTGCATGGCCTGCAATCCTACTCTGACACACCTGAGCCTGAACGCTTCTTTGTCTTAACGTCACCAGACCAAAGTTTCAGAAACTCTGGTGCGGTGCCTGTGGCAGACATCACTAATGGATCCCAGCACTTCTTCCTGCTGGGAAGGATGCTGCTCCGCTTCAGGTGGTCCAGCACCTCTGCCAACACGGCTGAGGGGATACTTCCTGTCTTGCCCCTCGGAGGGGCCCTGGTGCCCATGGAGGACCTGTTCGCAGACGGGAGACCCTTTGTGTGGCCCCACTCCTCTCCCTCTGTGATAGCCTTCCTGTCGCCTCTGTAGACAGGGCCGGGGCATCATAGGGTCCTCTGGTCAACAGCAGGCCCCCCTGAAATGGCTGTGGTGGCAAGACAAGGCTCCCTCGACCCCACAGTACTGCCAGGAAGGGAAGATGGGGGTTTTGCTGGGCTTCCCATGGTCTGGCCCTGCCCTGCCCCCTCTGGGGTGAGAAGGGAGCTCCCTGGTCCTAGTGTCTCCCTCCCAGCCCCTTGCTTGCCCAGCCCGGAGGGAGGAAGCCGGCACCTTCTGGTGGCCCAGGGCCAGGTGCACCAGTGCCCGCCCACACAGCGCCTGCACGTTCCCTGGCTCGGCCCGCAGGGTGGCGTTGAAGTCAAACATGGCCGTCTTCTTCTGGCCCAGGAAGCCGTAGCAGCGGGCACGGGCGAGGAGGGACTCGCTGGCTTGACCCCCTAGAGGAGGGAGGGCGTGATGTTGGCAGGGGGTGGTGGGCATGTGCTCACCTCTGGCCCAGCATCTATTGCACCCTCCCTGTGCCAGTCAGGGCTGGGGAGCTTATGGGGTTCACCCTGGGGGCTCACCGCCCATAGGCCCTGAAGGAAGGCACGCAAAGGGATAGGAGTGAGCTGGGAGCACTGGCAGGAGGGAGGGGTGTGTCAGCAGGAGGCAGTCAGAGGAGGCAAGAGGGGTGGGGAGGGGTCTGGGTCCTTGGGGCAGGGTGGGGTGGCACTGTATGAAGGAGACTTGGGGGCCAGGTCAGCAGGGAGGAACCCATGTCTTTGGAGCATAGGAGGCTCCTCTCCAAAGAGGAGACGCTGCCCAACCGAGTCTGGGGGTTCCATGAACGTTTCCCCTTATATTACTGGGCTGTCCAGAACCTGGTCTGACCCCAGTGCTGGACTGACCCAACCAACTCCCAGGAGAACAGGAGGCATGTGTGGGGGAAGGGTATCCCAGGGTGCTCCCCTGTCACCTCCTGTGTCACCTCCTGGCCCGCAGCAAGGCCCTCGTCACAGGGAAGAGCTGGCCCTTTCACACAGCACCCCACTCACTGGGGTAGCCCCTTGGAACTGTAGTCCCACCTGCAGGTCTAATGCTGGCCAGGAGGCCCAGCAGGTGTGAGGCCTGCGTGCGGACAACCGGCTGCGTCACCATCACTGCCGGGTCATTGTCACCATGATGTCATCATCAGCCTCCTGCTCTCAGGCTTGGGTCCAAGGTGCCCTCAGTGGGCAGCCCAGGCCCGTCCATCCTGCGGGAATTCCCACTGCACTGTGGCACCGACCGTGGACAGGCCTGTACCGAGCCCTGGACTCTCTGACTCTAGTGCGCCAAATCGGCACCTCGGCTCATCCAGGGGCCTGTGTCAGCCCATCGGCAGTGAGCGAGGGAGGGACCAGGGCCTCCTCACTAATTATCCTGGACCCCTTCTTCCCTCGCTCCCAGCATGGCAGAGCCCTGCCCCCCACCTGTCCCACCTGGGCCCTGCCTTACCTGCAGCGAAGATGGCCAGAGAGAGGTAGGCGATGGCCTCCCTGGCTTGGGCCCCACCGTCCCCGCCTGGTCGCGCCCTCAGGATGGCCGTAGCCCGGGTGTGGCAGTGGCTCCGAAGCAGCTGCCGGTCACTGTCGTGGAAGACGTCCAGGGTGGGCTGGAGGCAGGCGGTGTCACCGGACCGGACCACCTTCTTCACCAGCTGTAGGCAAGCAGGCCTTGCTTGTCAGCCCCTCCTTCCCAAGGGTCTCTGTGTCCCAGGGTCCTCCATGGAGCCGACATCCCTGGGACTCCAGCCCGCCCAGCCCTTCCGCACTCACTAGTCCTCAGGACTCCAGCCCTCCCCAGCTGCCTGCTCCACCACCCCCAGAACTTGTACCTCCAGGTCATCTTGGGAGTACCCTCTGTCTTCCTTTAATTGGGGTGCATGGAGGGCAGAGACTTGTGGGCAGGGTGGAAGAGGCACAGAGTGACTGCCAACCAGGCAGGACGGGTACCTTGTGGGGGCAGCTCCTCAGTGTGCCCACACATCCGCTTCCTTTTCACAGTGCTGGCGCAGGCCATTCAAGCCAGGCAGTGGCAGGAAAGGGGCTGTCCCATTATAAAGTGAGGCGGGCAGAGGGCATCCTTCAGAAACCCCCAGGACAGAGAGCCGCTGGCTTCCCAATCAGGGGAACCATCTACTGTAGCAGCGCCCAGTGCTGAGGGCCCGGTGCTGCCCACTGCTGGTCAGACTGAACATGCATGGCACCTTCTCTGGAATCAAACCAGGCCTGAGGACCACAGCCCTGGGCCTTAAAGTCTGAGAGCTGCCCCCTAGAACGTAACCTTCAAACAGAGGCTTCTAGAATATGGACGCGAGGCTGAAGCTGTCTCAGAGAGAGGCAGCAGGCAGGGGGGCCTGGACCCCTGGGGATCTCTCTACTGGCCTCCCTAAGAGGGCAGGGTCACATCCAGGTCCATGGGGGCTTGTTGATGAGCCCTGCTGACCTGTGAGCTTAGAGGGAAGCTCAGTCTACAATGGATGCTTGGCCTTTTTTTCTTCACCATGTTGGTTTGGCAAAAGCAACCAGGTGGTTAAGTGTTGGGCTGCTAACCACTAGGTCCTCTGTTCAAAACTACCAGCCGGTCTGTGGGAGAAAGACCAGGCTCTCTACTCCTGTAAGGAGTCACGGGAGTCTTGGAAACCCACCTTGGCAGTTCTGCCTTGTCCTATGGGGTCACTATGAGTCGTAATTGACCTGATGGCAGGGAGTGTGGTTTTTAAAAAGAAAACACCAGTGTGGGGCAGCTTTGCAAACAAAACAAAGTCAACCCCAATCCCAACCCGCCCTGACAAGCACAGTTCCACTCTGACACACGAGGCGTCACTAGGAGTCGGGGTCACCTCGAGGGCAACTATTTGTTGCTTCCTGTGGGCGGAAAACCTGCCAGAGAACCTGCTCCGGCCATTCCCGCCATCACCCAGTGAGGCCAGTGCACAGGCGAAGAGAGCCAGGGTCAGACAGGTAAGAGACCTGCCAAGAAGGCATACC